AGTGATGGGCTATCTGAAGCGTGGCTTCGAGGCGTGTACCGAGTAAAAAGGGGGCGTGTCCGATGAAGCCCCGCTTCGGAGCTTGTGTCACATTGAGCAAAATCACGTGATCAGCAACAAACGAGGCCTCGCATTACATCTGCCACGTCATTGCTTCATTTTGCGTATCGTTTTTCAAAATAAAAGCGCTATGAACTCTGCTGCTTCGTGGGTTGTAGTAGGTGGTTTGGTAGCGCATCAGCAGAGCCGTTTTCATCAGCACTGGTTGAAATGGAGCCGTCAAAGAGAAAAACCTCTCATATCTGGGAGTAATTTGAGATGACAGACCACAAAAAGGTTTGTATAATGTTTGCACAAGATCTGACTACATTTGCATCATTACACTTTGTGTGAACTTCACCATCCTTTTAATTCAGGTGAAATGTTTGCTGTGTGACAGGGTGTTGGTCTACAACAACACATCATCAATGATTAGGCATTACAGGGCCCTACATGAAAATAAGTACACTTTAAACACAGGAGACACCAGCCAGAGTATGACATTGTTTAATGTGTTTAAAATTATTTCATTCATATCTATCAGTATAATATTTCGATTGTTTTATATTTATGCGTCTTACAGATTCCAGGAAGCAAGTGCTAGATGAGGCTGTGGTAAACTTGATTGTAAAGGATTCCCAACCCTTTTCAGTAGTGGAGGATGAGGGGTTCAGGGAGCTCATTCATTTGCTGGATTCAACCTATGTTCTTCCTACCAGAAAGGTTTATATGTGTCAAAAATACCAGCTAATGTGGTAAATGGAAATCATTTCAGTTATTTAAATGAATTATTTTGCTTTTCATTTCAGGCATTAAAAAAGATGGTGGAAGAGAAATACTACAAAACAAAAGAAAAAGCCAAAGAAGACATTCAAAAGGTGTCTGCCGTCAGTCTGACCGCAGATATGTGGACCTCCATGAATATGGAGGCTTACCTGGCCCATAACATGCCACTTCTTTGATCCCAATGACAAACTGGGCATTGTATTAATTGGAGTGGAGCATTTCCCTTCCACTCACACATCTGAGAATCTGGCCAGGGTGGTGCATAATCACATGGCGGAGTGGGGAATTACTGATAAGGTGAACTGTCTGGTGACTGATGCCGCAGCTAACATGATTGCATGTGCTAAGGCATTAAAGATCAGGCACTCCATTTGCATTGCTCATGGACTGAATTTATTAGTCCGAAAATCATCTGACCAGATCCCTGCCCTCTGTGACATCCGCGCAAAGGCTAAAAGAATTGTGGCATATTTCCACTCAAGCACCACAGGTAAAGAAAAGCTAGAAGGGATTCAAATACAGATGGGAAGACAGTCGCAAAAGCTCATAATCAATGTGGATACACGCTGGAACAGCACTTACCTCATGTTGGAACGTCTGTTTCAACAAAAAGAACCTGTGGCTGTAGCCCTCACAACACTCAAAACTGATATAATCCCTCTGACTTCTCAGGATTATGAGATAATTGAGGAATCGTTACCGGTGTTGTTCCCATTTTTCCAAGCAACTTCAGAGCTCTCTGAAGAGAAAAGGGTGTCAATATCCAAGGTTATACCTTTAATGAACATGCTACACCATGCAGTGCTTACAAAGACGGCAAATATAAAAAGTTATGTTCCAAGACTTCTGTCTGAAAACCTATTGAGGCGTGTCAAAGAACAAATTGCAAATATTGAATAATTAAGTGTCATTACAATGGCCACATTGCTGGACCCTAGGTTCAAAACTCTTGGTTTTGTCAGTCAAAGCAAGGCACAAGATGCAGTACGGCGGCTGAAAGCAGAATGTTCTGCACTAATTGCAAACAATGAAGGTAACCAGCTGCAGGATTCAGCAGATGCAGGAGAAGGCACCAGCAAATCTTGTGAGTTTTCTTTTTTATTTTCTTGTGACATTTGTACTACTGTATTTCAGTTGTTGGTGTATATTATCTGTAATGATTTTTTTGTTATTTATAGGTGAACTGTGGTCTCTGTTAGATTCTACAGTGGACAAAAAGAGGCGTAGCTCTAATGCCACAGCAGATGCCATTGTTGAAGTAGAGCGATCCCTCGCCGAAATGAGCCTAAGGAGATATGAAGATCCTTTGGAGTATTGGCACACACACAAACATGTGCATCCCCATTTGTACTGTATGGCACTGAAGTTCCTCTGTTCACCTGCATCATCAGTGCCTTGTGAACGAGTTTTTTCCAAGGCGTGGGAGGTCATCTGCCGACGAAGAAACCGTCTACAACCTGAAACAGTGAAAAAAGTCCTGTTCCTAAATAAAAACAATTAAACCTAAAATCCAAACAGTTCTTAATTATTTTTGTTTGATCAGGAGATACATCAGATTCACACATCAAAAACAGACTAAAAACCATTGGAAGAGGCAAACTTTATTTGTACTGTTAAAAACCAGAACTAGAACTTCCAAGAAGAGATCATTTTAAACAAATTCTGTTTGTCAGGAAGCAAGTTTTTCACTCAAAGTATTCAGTCTGCCTCAACAATCACTCAATTCCCAATACAGCAAACAACATATCTTCATTATCAAATAAGTCCATGACATAAAAGAAAACCCAACACAACCACTGATGGTCAAGGATTAGATTGGCTACAAATCATTTTAATAATTAAAACATGACAATTAAATATGATTTAATTGATTCTCCTGTTACTAAATATGAGTTTGATAAAAACTTTGTGACAATATTGCATTTACAAATTTTTGAAAGTATGATCCAACTGAGTGA